ATCATGACACAATAGTAGAAGGTAGGTCAACTTGAGGTGAATAACAAAAAAGCAACTCTGTAACTGGTGGCTTCTTCTGTCAACTATAAAATATATGCAATAAGTGTTTGTGTCTATCTGACATTTTTCAACGCATAGTCCCAATTTATATTAGGCGAGTTTAATTGCGGCAAGTCTGTGTTTGAAGGATAGAGGGGCAAGGGGAATAGAAATTGAAAAAAAAATTGCTCGTACCGACGATTTTCTGGCAATTCGTTTTGTGAATTTTGTTTGTAGTGTCAGTAATTTGAAATTACATCAATCCAGAACATTGTCAAAAAATAAATATTTTTGAAATCGAATTGCCTTGTATAGACGATTGAAGCAAGTTCAAAAGAGAACGATAAAAATTGCCGCAAGTAAACTCGCCTAATATAAATCAGGACATAGCTAAAAACGTGTTTTCCTTTCAATTAAATTTATACAGTATTCCCCGCTTAATTACCTCCACGTCTTATTACCTTCCACGGTTAATTAATCCGATTTAAGATTTAATATTTTCAGTACAATCCCTTACAAAACTGCACGTTTAATTACCTCCTTATAATTACCCATTTTTCATTGATTTGCCCCTAAATAACCTACATCAAAGTAACCGTTACTTTTAAATCTGTCCCATGTAATTACCCAATGTATTTTTGAAATCTGGCAACTTCACTTAAAATGGCTAGTGCACTTGCCACACATGTGCACATAAAATCTATTGTTTTGAAAGTTTTCGTGAAATGTCCCCCAGAAATACATCTGTGTCTATCAAACTAAAGCTCCAGTTAATATCTCAAGCAAAAAAGAAAGAAAAAACAGCAGTGTCCACCGATATTTACCCTTGCTGGGTAATTAACCGGGGTCCACGAATAATTACCCCAGCGAGGTAATTAACCGTTCACGCTTAATTACCTTTCACGGATAATTGCTCAAAAATCTGAGGTAATTAAGCGGGGTTTACTGTATTTCATTTTAACTTATTTTACATGGTTAGGTTAGGTTGAAAAGAGGGGTGGATGATCCACCACATGTCCAACATGAAAAGGACATACACATAAGCCATATGAGGAAAAACATTTGGGTTTGATACCCTATGAATCTAAAAATTCCGTGTTTTTTGTTGCGAACTCCTTCAATATTTTCCATTCACACCCCCTCAGATCGCTTAGTCCGTGAAGAGTGTCATTTCCCAAGAATAGTCTGCGAAGGCATGTAAATTCTGGGCAATGGCACAGGAAATGTTCCAGAGCGTTTCACTGTCATCCCCACACGCTCTGCACTCGTTCCACTTCCTTCGCAACCAATCTTGAGTAGATGTGCCTTCAGGCCGAGGTGTCCCGTCAGAATACCCGTCAGTCGGCTTATTTCTTTTTTGTTTATCGTTAGGATTTGCTTAGTTTTGTCTTCACTTTGGTCGCCCCATAAGATTTTGGTAATTTTTCCTGTCCCCTCATTATCTCAAAGGGTTTTGTGGGTCTCATGTGCTCATTCCCTCATTTCTTGGCGTGTTTTGCTAAAGGGTTTGGCGGTATACACCTGTATTGTGGGTAGTGCAGTGGTACTCCTGGCTAGTTGATTTGATATCTCGTTGCCCATGATTCCTTGGTGACCCGGTACCCATATAATTCGTACAGGTACTTCTTGTGAGAAATCATTAATGGTATTTATACATTCCAATAGACATCCAAGTGAGAAATCATTAATGGTATTTATACATTCCAGTACAGTTTTGGATTTAACTGTTCTGGAAGATATTGCCTTTATAGCTTGCTTTCTGTCCGTAATAATATTTGTTGTATTTTGTCCTTGGTTTGAAATTAACCAGTTAATACACTCTGTTATAGCTTGAACCTCCGCCTGTGGTACCCGGTTCTTCGATAAAAAGTCCCAGTCCAGTTTTTCACCCTAGTCGAGAGCCATCTGTGTAGCAACAGTTACCAGGCGGCATCTGAACTAGTGTTCCGCTATTCCATTGTTGTCTATCTGGTATTATAGTTTATTATGCAGCTCTTAATCGCTCCCAATATCAAGTCTGGAAAAATAACCTCATATGTTTATAGGCATAACAATACAGAGAACGTGATCGCAAGTTAACATTCCCTTTTAAGGTGGGTAAAAGTAACTCTTCTCAATATGGAAATGACCTCTGAAAGTAGCTAACAGACTTCCAGAAATTTGTATAGGCTCCTAGAAAGATCACAAGAAATCTTCAGGTATTTGGGATTCCAAAAACAGAATTGTTAAGAGAGTACACGAAAAACGCCTTTAGTAAAATGGCGCCTACGAATATTTTTAGACTTCCAATCAGCAATTAGTATAGGCTCCTAGAAAGATCTCAAGAAATCTTCACTTATTTGCGATCCTAATAACTAAATTACTGCGCGAGTATACGAAAACTCCGTATTGGCAATTGAGTTTGAAAGGCTATGGGATAGTTGGTAGAAAATACAAATTTTAATGACTCCCAATATGAAACTATACTCTGTATAAAAATGGCCTATGACATAATGGCGCCCAACAAATATTTTTTAGACTTCCAACATGAAGTTAGTATATAGTTAGGCAATAGGAAACTATACTCTATAGAAAATGTTATATGACAATGGCGCCCAACAAATATTTTTTAGTCTTCCGACCAGAAATTGGTATAGGCTTCTAAAAACATCACAAGAAATCTTCAGGTACTTGCGATCAAACTCACCGAATGATTGCGTGAGTATACGAAAAACACGAATAGGTAAACGAGTTTGAAATGCTAAGCGATAGTTGGTAGAAAACACATCTTTAAGACTGCACAATCGGCAATCCTCTTCTTCAGCTTCACTTCGTCCACATCTTTCATTAACTGCTCCTTGTTTGCCGCTCCTTATTGTCATTGGCAACCATTCGTATGGCCAACTGATCACAGTTCTGCCTCTGCTGTTTGACGGTTCTTCTTCGAAAGAGCCAATTCTTCAGATTCAGATTTCGCGGTGTGGTTTGCTGCCATAATGTCTGCGGCATTGGAGACCACTTGCTTGGCCAGCTTGTCTTATTCGGATTCTGTTGATCGATGGTTCTTCTCCGAAAGATCCAGTTCTTTCAAAAGATACCTTGTCTCTTCTTCCCATGACTTTTCTGCTGCCTGGGCTTTCTCTACAGCCGCCATAAATTCACGTTTAAGTTTGCGAACTTGATAGTCCAATTCGAGGCATATATCTCTAGCCTCTCTATATATTGCCTGCGTCTTTTCTTTAAGGCAACCATTGGCGTCTTATGACCTTTTTTTCCCAACTGAACATTGTGCCATAACTGGTTTCTCCTCATCAGCCACCGCATCGTTCTTTTCCGACTGCAGCTATTTCCTGTGCAAATGGATTATTACTATGAATAAATGGAATATTAGTTACTTGCCGCTCCTTATTGTCATTGGCAACCATTCGTATGGCCAACTGATCACATTCTGCCTCTGCTGTTCGACGGTTCTTCTTCGAAAGAACCAATTCTTCAGACAGCTTCTTTATCTGCACTCCACAGGATTTCGAGGTGTGGTTCGCTGCCATAATGTCTGCGGCATTGGCGACCACTAGCTTGGGCAGCTTGTCTAGTTTGGCCTCTGTTGATCAACGGTTCTTCACCGAAAGATTCAGTTCTTTCAAAAGATTCATTTTTTCTTCTTCCCATGATTTTTCTGCTGCCTGGGCTTTCTCTGCAGCCGCCACCAATACACATTTAAGCTTGCGAATTTGATAGTCCAATTCGATTCATATATCTCTTCCCTCTCAAAATCTTGCCTTTGGCTTTTCCTTTAAGTCAAACCATTGGCGTCTTCCGATCTTTCTAGAGTAACTTCTAGCTCTTTATTCCTTGCCCGTAACTCCGCCACGTCACGGCCTTTCTCCACTGGATTTCGCGGTGTCGTTCGCTGTCTGCGGCATTGGCGACCACTTGCTTCGCCAGCTTGTCTTGTTCGACCTCTGTTGATCGACGATTCTTCTCCGAAAGATCCAGTTCGAAAGATTCCTTTTCTCTTCTTCCCATGATTATTCTGCAGCCTGGGCTTTCTCTGCAGCCGCCACCAATTCACGTTTAAGCTTTTGCGAACTTGATAGTCCAATTCGATGCATATATCTCTAGCCTCTCCATATCTTGCCTGCGTCTTTTCTTTAAGGCAACCATTGGCGTCTTCCGATCTTTTTATAGCAACTTCTAGCTCATTATTCCTTGCCCGTAACTCCGCCACGATACGGCCTTTCTCCTCCAAATGCAATGAAAGCTGTTCATTTGTTCTTGGGCTGGCCTAAAACCTCCTGTCATATTGGTTTACTTCTCCAATATCTTCATCCACCGATCCCGAACTACCGGATCGTCTTTCACTTCATAGGGTGCTTCCTTAATCAACTGTTCTATAAAGTCATATAGGGACTGTACCACAGTCGTATCTATTTCATCGATAGCCTCTGCGTACATGTTCATATTCGTTATTAAATTGCTTATCTCCCAACTGAAGTTCGGTCGGTGCCGAGGCTCTGCCTAGCTTATCTTCTAGGGTAAGGGACTCCATCGCCTCCTTCCTTTCATCTGCAGCCGCTATGCTCAGAATCGAAGCTTCACTGGCTAAATGTCTCGCCGTCACCGCCTTCTTCTTTGCAGCACTTTCCTTTTGACTCAGCATTTCATTCTTATTCTAATTTTTTTCTTTCTGTGAATTTTTTACCAAGCTGACAGAATTTTCTTGACCGTTAAGGCGAATTCTTCAGCATGTCTTTCTTTTAAGAACATTTTCTTTTAAAGATATTTTTTCAGGGTATAGGTTATGTATATATAATTAACCTGCTCAATTTAATCAAAAATTGTCATTAACGTAACAAATGACTAAAGGGTCATTAACTCCTGTCATTAAACCAGGAAATTCCCCACTCCCCAAAATAAGCGATTTATGTTTCATTTAAATGGATTGGGGTTCAGTTACCACTGAACCATCGAACCTTGCAAACATGACCCATCCAATTCAGCGAAGACAACTGAAGAGGAGAAAGGAATTGGAAATCTATTGTCTGGGGAATTTGAAGAAATACCTACAAGAGACCACCCTGCATGGTTTGAAATATTTGGTGGATAGTTCGCTGACAAAGTGGGAAAAGTAAGTGGTGAAAAATTACGAAAATTCGAAGAGGTTTTTTGATTTTTTTTTTTGCCCCAGATCATTTTTCCTTACCGCCTTTGTGTTTTGCTTCATTATGGTGGTACACCTGGTAGCCAATATCTATGCCAAATGGGATAGTACCCCGGTGATAATTGGTATAAGTCCACATCCGACACCGATAGTGAAGCTACCCTTACCCGCCATGGTTTTGTGTAACATGAATCAGGCCGTGTATTCGAAGGTGGCTAATTACAGCAAGTAAGGGCATTTTTGTACCCCTATTAAAAAGGTTGAGGCAATTATATCAAAAATTTTGGTTTCTTTTTTTCAGAGGCTCCAAGGAACATGCCCTTCTACAATATTTATGCTATTCGGAAATAGCCTATGATAGTAAAAGGGAAAATTCGCGAGAATTTAAAAATAATGATTTGGATCCTTTGGATTTTATTATTGCGGTAAGTATTGGGTAGTTCATGGAAATGTAGTATTGAAATTAATCTCAAGATTTCAGCATTCCCAACCCTGCTCTCGTATGATGGTTGCCTGTTTAATCGGTTCCGTGGCCTACAATTGCAGTGAGCTGTTTCGTGAAGTTGTAACGGATGAGGGTCTCTGCTGCGCCTTCAACACATTGCATCCCAAATTGAATTATATAAAGAAGTAGGTGCAAAAAATTCACAACAAAGAACAGATTTTGAAAAAATATTTAAAAAAACAGGCGTTGAAAAAAATATATATTATATTTTTTTTTAATATTCCAGCTATCGCACACTGGATGGCCTTAAAACTGCTGCTGATGTTGTGCCGGTTGATTGGAATCCTGAAATGGGTTATCAGGCAAATTTACCCCCTAAATATTATCCACGGCCAACGTTAGGTAAATTCCCACACAGCCAGGAAACCAATTAGTTTTCTAACCCCCCTTCATCACCCCTTCCCTAGGTACCGGCATCTCCATGGGCATTTCTGTCATCCTAAATGCCGAAGTAGATGAATACTACTGCTCGACGAGCAACAGTGCCGGGTTCAAAGTAAATCTTGCCACACCCATTGATAGACCGCTGGTCGGTGAATCAGGCGTTATTGTACCCTTGGGCGCCACAACCAATTTTCGTATTGATGCCCAAATTAGCGAATCCTCCCCGGCCATACGTTCGATAAATCGCAAACGACGTCGTTGTGTATTCCTCAATGAAGAATCGCTCGTTTTCTATCGTTACTACACAAAGGCCCATTGTGAACATGTATGCCTCTCGGCGTTCCTAATCGAACGGTGTGGTTGTATACCCTTCTATCTGCCGGTTATCTATGATAATGCCACCTTTTGTAATGTCAGTCGGATGTTTTGTGCGGATAAGGCCAGGGTGGAATATTCCAGGGTCACTGATGATGACTGCACGGCACGCTGTGAGACAACCTGTTTTGATTTGAAATTTGTGCCGGATGCCTTTAGCTCACCCCTTGCTATGCATAATTATACGATACAAAGTGAAATATTGGCGTCCATGCCCAAGGAGGAGGTCCAAAAGAATATTGCCGTGCTGCATTTCTACTATCGTGAATCGGTGGTACATGCGGAATTGAAAAATGTCTATATTGGGTTTACGGAATTTTTGTGTAAGTTCAAAAAAATGTTGTAGGACCCCGATTCCTCGTTTGAAAAATTTTGCTTTTTTAAATTTCCAGCCAATACCGGTGGCATTTTGGGCCTATTTATGGGTTTCAGTTTCATTTCCGTTGCCGAGATTGTCTACTTCTCCATACTTCGGCCAATTTTCAAATTTGTTGTGCCGCGGAAATATCGTAACTCGCCGTCGATCAGACATGTTCGGCCAGCTACAAGCAAGGTAAGCAGGGGACTAAAGAAATTATTTCAAATTAACCTGACTTTTTCCAACGGATTTTATTTTAGGAAAATCAGAATTGGCTACCAGGGGAAATATGTAAGGCTGTGTTGAAGACTATTCCGTCAGAGGGAGAGGCCGCGGTGCCACCTGGGGAGCTATTTTCATCACCCGATGAAATAGTCAGCTAATATGTACCGCGAGTTCACCTATAAGAACTATAAACAGATGAGTTGAGGCGTCAGGTTAGTTGCCCACTCTCGGAAAACCCAATCTACTATGAAAAAGCAAAGAAAAAGAAAACCAAACCCCCCTAATGTTGACGACTCCCGCAAACGTATCAAGGACCACGATCTGCGAATCTGCACTTGGAATGTGCGCACGTTGTACAGAACAGGCGCAGTGTTCGCTTTGGCGGATGTAATCAAGCAATACAAATCCGATATTATTGCCTTACAACAAATGCGATGAAAAGGGACTGGCATAAGTAATTCGGACGATTACGCACTGTATCATAGCTGCCATGAATCGAGACATTAATTTGGCTGCGGATTTCTGGTTAACAGGAGAAAAAAAGACCTCGTCTTCAGATTCACTCCAGTAGATGAGCGAATTGCTATAATCCGTATAAAAGCGAAGTTCTTCTACATCAGTCTCATTTGCGCCAATGCTCCGACCGAAGATAAAGATGAACAGATCAAAGACATATTTTACGAGCGCCTAGAAACAGCATATGATCCTTGCCCTGGCCATGACAATAAAAATTCGTCCAGCAGATTTTAATGCAAAAATCAAAAGGTAAAATATCATTGGCCCCACCGTCGGAAAATTCAGCCTCCATGAAGAAACATCAGACAACGGCATGAGGTTGATTGACTTCGCGGCAGCAAAAAACATGGTAGTTAGCAGCATCAGATTCAAGCATCTTGATATACACAAGGCCACTTGGATTGCTCCCGATCGAACAACGAAAAATCAAACCGATCATGTGATAGACGGAAGGCATTCATTCAGTGTTCTAGACGTCCGATCGATCCGGGGAGCGAATATCGATTCGGATTACTACCTTGTGGCAGCCAAGGTACGCAACCGTCTTAATGTAGCAGCAAAGGTGCGATCTAGCACAACACGAAAATTTGACGTCGAAAAAGTGCAAACACAACAGATAGCGGAAGCCTACTCCGCTCAACTTACCCAATTGCTTGACGAAAGCACCCCTTTTCCCGATAATAGTATAGAAGCAAAAGCAACAGTTGGATACCAAAGACCACCATCAAGAAATCCGTGGTACGATCAGGAGTGTCGTAATGCTACTGATATGAAAAAACGCAGCGTTTAGGTCAACCCTGCGGACAGTAGCAACACGTGATGCGATGGAGAACTATCGGGAGAAAAGGTGAGAGAGTAGAAACGTGTTTTCAGAAAAAAGAAGAAAGAACAAGAAAAACGTGAGCGTGAGCAAATCGAGATGTATATGAGTCAGAATGAAATCCGAAAGTTGTACCAACGGGTAAAACACGATAACGAAGGCTTTGGAGCATGCACATCCTTATGTAGAGGTAAAGAAGGGAACCTGTGAAAAATTTCTGGTATCAAATAGTAGCGGTGAGGAGGATACCCCAGAACCAATAATAGATGACGGTATAGAATGTATACCACCTAGCCAAGATGAGGTCAAAATAGCAATCAATCGGCTGAAGAATAATAAAGCAGCAGGTGCCGATGGGTTACATGCCGAACTATTCTAGATAGGTGGTCAGGAGCATGCACCAGCTGATTAGTACAATTTGGCTAGAAGAATGCATGCCCAATGATTGGAACCTCAGCATCCTGTGTCCTGTGCACAAAAAAGGAGACAAAACGATATGAGGAATAAGTCTCCTTCCTATCGCATATAAAGTGCTATCCAGTGTGCTGTGTGAACAACTAAAGCCAATGGTCAATGACATTATTGGACCATATCAATGTGCCTTCAGACCTGGCAAATTCACCATTGACAAGATTTCCACTTCAGACCTGACAAATCCACCATTGACCAGATTTTCACTCTGCGCCAAATCCTGGAAAAAACCCACGAAAAACACATCGACACATTCCACATATTCGTCGACTATAAAGCCGCATTCGTCAGCCCTATCCGTTCAGAGGTGTATAAAGCCATGTCTACATTGGCAAAATTAATTCGGCTATGCAGGATAACTTTAACAGGCACAAGATCAGCAGTTAAAGTCGGAATGGACCTATCGGAGCCTAGAAACAGCATATGACCGTATCTATCATCCCCTACGCCACCCACCATTGACCAGATTTTCACTCTTCGCCAAATCCTCGAAAAAACCCACGAAAAACACATCGACACATTCCACCTATTCGTCGACAATAAAGCCGCATTCGACAGCCCTATCCGTTCAGAGGTGTATAACGCCATGTCTACGTTTGGCATTCCTGCAAAATTAATTCGGCTATGCAGGATAACTTTAACAGGCACAAGATCAGCAGTTAAACGAGGTTTCAGCCAAGGTGACAGTTTGTCGTGTGACCTCTTTAAGATCCTGCTGGAAAAGGTCATACGAGAGGCAAAGGCGAACAGAAATGGATCTCTGTACACCAAACAACACATGTTACTCGCCTACGCCTATGACATCGACATAATGGGTCGAACTTTGAGAGCGGTAACAGCCACCTTTGAACAAATTGAGAAGGAGTCTGCCAGTAAACGGCGAGAAGACCAAGCTGATCCAAGTATCAACGCGCAAGACGTCCAGTAGACTCGGACCAACTGTGGAACTTGAGAACTACAGCTTCGAGGTAGTCAACGATTTTATATACCTCGGTACCGCCATAAATAAAACGAATGACAAATTCGGAGAAGGATAGTGATGGCCAACCGATGCTACTATGGTCTATGTAAGCAGTTTAGAAACAAGACCACCTCCCGCAGACCAAACTCACACTCTACAAGACGCTGATACTACCCGTGCTGTTATATGGATCTGAAGCATAGGGTACTTACGCAAGCAGATGAGGCAGCTCTTGGAGTGTTTGAGAGAAAAATTCTCCGAAAGATCTATGGGCCAATCTGCATTGACGGTGAATATCGCCGTTGAATGAACCATGAGTTGTGCTAGCTATTCTCGGTCATCGACATGGTTAGACGTATTGT